CGCTTCTCCTAGTATTGCTCTTTTCTTTCCTGCTGGACAGGGCAAAAATCGTCTTTCTCGTTCCCATCATTTTGACTCTGCACTTCTTTGTTGTCATCATTCCTAGGAGGTGGGTGGGGAGCCGTCATTAGCTTCCCTGAGGGGGTCGAGGTGTTCACGCTCCCCTCGAAGGGGACCTCCTTGGGCCGGTCGTGACTGCTGAGGGTCTTGCAAGAGTTTCATGAGTTCCTCGTTCTACTGGAGTAAATGCTGGTTGACTAGGCAAAGGGCCTCTAATTCATTATTCGTGAGGGGATCCACCATGGGAGGATTAGCCTTGGCAGTGGGGAAGAATCTCGGGGATTCCTATGTTACCTGTCGCTAATGGTCTCCTGTTGGTTCTGCATCCGTGGGGGATTTATTTGGCTTCTGCTCATGTTGCTTGTCGAGACCATCAATTACTAAAAGATCAGCATTTTTATAACAGGCACAATCGCTTCCCACAGACGACGCCAAACTAACAGTGTTAATTACATGGATGAACAAAACTAGTGAACCATGCAAGTAAGACTAGATCAGANCAAAGGGCCTCTAATTCATTATTCGTGAGGGGATCCACCATGGGAGGATTAGCCTTGACAGTGGGGAAGAATCTTGGGGATTCCTATGTTACCTGCCGCGAATGGTCTCCTATTGGTTCTGCATCCGTGGGGGATTTATTTGGCTTCTGCTCATGTTGCGTGTCGAGACCATCAATTACTAAAAGATCAATATTTTTATAACAGGAACAATCGCTTCCCACAGACAACGCCAAACTAACAGTGTTAATTACGCGGATGAACAAAACTAGTGAACCATGCAAGTAAGACTAGATCAGGGTTGCTAGGTTCGAGAGGATTACGACATAAATTCTTGGGAAATTGGGAGGATTTGCATAGTAAAATTATAGTGGTTCATTAGCTCGGGAGCTTGACTAATCCACTATTTAATGGAGTCTCTTGCTCCTTGGATCTATAATCATCATCTAAAGGATTTACATGGTGTTTTTGATACAATCGGGATTGCCCCCCATTGGTGGCACTGTACGTGAATTTATAACCTAATTCCTAACTTTATGGGATCTGCAACAAGATCTTTGCCTTCCATGCATCGGATCTCCCTTGATTTTGGGGAGAGGATCTTGGTTAGTTGAGAGTTTAACGCCATGATTATAGCTTTCTATTGATTCGAGGTTGTCTTCCTCCAACCATTTGTTTCCTTCTTATTTCCTTTATTGTTTCCTCTGAGGGGAGCTTGGGGTTTGGACCACTGAGCCCTGGATAGCTTATCTAACCTCTCTTCCTAAGCTCATATTAGCTAGAATTCTTTCTGGGTATCATCAAAATTCATTTGATTTTATGATGATCACTTGAATCGATGTGAGATCCTTATTGTGACTGTGTAGACAATTAAAGAAGAGAGTAAGGTTTAATAGTTTTTTCCTATGCGTCATAATCAAGGAATTAAACTCTCATCGATTAACAAATTATTAACCAGTAATGGACAAATCTAGAATGGAACGAACTGAATGTTGAATTCAAAGTTTGTTTGTCAACTTGATGGCTGAATTATAATTAAGGAAAATAATAAGGTCTGACCAACCGAGAGAAAACAACTGCAACGATAAAATAGGGTTATGTAGCTATTGTGTGTGAATATGATGGTGTTGTGATTTACCTCTATTAGGAGTTGTTCTATTTAGAGTACTATCCTTCACTGCTTATTTTGGTTAGGGAAGGCAATGGACCGGGGAAAAACGAGAATTCATCCAAACGCGCCCCGTTTGGATCAGGGATGGACCATACATATTTGATGTGAATGTAAACGGGAATATTCATATAAATCCGTGCGGGGATGGATCAACAGGTACCCCCGCCCCACTTGGCCTGCTAGATTTTTATGAATATATATAATATATCTATAAATATATATGTAGAATATCAATACTAGTCATAACCCATGCCTGAATGCACGATAAAATATAAAATTCGAACGTCCAAAAAATCAATCTCATTATAATAATTTTTTTCAAAATGTATTAACTATAAATTAATCAAATATTAAATGATTAAATATATGATAAAAATGAGTGATGTGATATTTTTAGGAAATAAATATATAAATGATTAAACATATGATATAAATAAGTGATGAGATTTGACGTTTGAGTCTGACAAAGGGATGATGAGTGAGGTAAGTGATTGATGATGGTTTTGAGAAAAAAAAATATGACTGGGATAAAATTTAAACACACTCATATTTTATTATATAGATAGTATCATATATATATATATATATGTATATATATATATTATATTCACGCCTTTTGACCTTTATTCCCTCAATTCACGCCTTCTGACTGTGCCTTCCTAAATGGTAAAATCTGTCTCTTTCTCTATGAGAAATTAGTCCCACAATACCTCATTTCCATACTTGGTGATACCCAAATCTTGTCTCTCCTAATTCAAGCCCTAGAAATGAGGCCCTCCAAATTGGCCTCTACCTTGCTACCTCTCTCTCTAGCCTCTCCTCTTTCACTTATTTCTCTCTCGTTGTCTTCTTTCCCTCTCTCCATTGCTCATCTCTCAATCCAAGTACAATTTTGTGCTTCTTTTTCTCTCGTTGTATGCTTTTCTGTCTCTCGATGTCTACTTCACACACACACAACGCACATAAGGTGTTAGAAAAAATGCCCATAACTCTTAGAGCGCACACACACAGAACACCCAACACACCCTTGACAAGCTTGGTATTGATGTATTTCTTGCTTTGGATCTAGTTTATTATATGACTATTGTGTTAGTTATGTTGTAATCTGTTATTATGGACGTGTGTTGATGACAGTGGCAGTGGCAGGGATGGGGACGAGGACAGAGATCAAAATTTACTCACGAGACGAGAACGAAGATTAAAATTTTCCCCACTGACTAAGTTAGACCGGAGATGAACGAATATATTTGAAGCGGGCACAGGGGATACAGACTACTCCCCCCACCCCGTTTACTACCATCCGTAATTTTTGTTATGCTACCTTGTGTAAGAGAGTCAGTTACCTCATCAGCTCAATGAATGACTCGCTTTTCATAATTTCCTAAAACTTCTTTTTCCTATTTGTTAGTTATGGTTTTCTCCTATCTTCTCGTACTTGATCTTTGACATAGAATAAATTATACTTTATCCCCGGAACTGTTATCCTTGTTTGACTTTGCATCATTAACTAAAAATTTCTCATATTATATCCTAAAGTATTAATTTTTTTGTATAACTCTAATAGATAACGATAAACTTAAAAATATTTTGAGAGAGGGAAGGAAACCCCAAAGAGCTTTCTGTCAAGTGTCTGGTACCACTTTATTTTACATCTTTTTGCAACCAAATGGCTGTTGGAAAGAAAAAAAAAAGGTGGGCCAAAAGAAAAAAATTTAGAGTTTAGGTAGGACAAGGTCATCAATAGGTATTTTTCTTGATTTTTGACATACACACATGCAATAGGCAATACAAACAACTCACATGCGCATTTATTATCAAAAAATTGACATTCATTATTAATTTGAGTAATATAAAATAAAATTAATATTTTATGATATAATGTGATAAATGTTATAATTAAGAATACAAAATAAAACAAGAGTAATAGTTCAAAGAGGTAAAGTGTACTTTACCCTTCGACATACTAGCTAGCATCATTTAGTTAATTGTCTTCGCTCAGGACTCTTTGATCTCTTTATTGACCTGTATCTTGCCACACGTGGTTATCTCTCTCTCTCTCTCTCTCTAGCTGTTTTTTTTTCTAGTTATGGTGTAAACAATATGAATACAACATGAACCTCTTGCTGTAGGATATTTTGCAAAAATTTTAACCCAATGTTAGGGGTAAAATTTCTACCCAATCCTATCTTGCAAAAAGGAATGCAACTATATGGACCCACAGACAAAATTGGAATTATGTCACCAACAACTTACACCATGTCAAAACTCTTTGGTCCATCTGTAACATAATTCAGGGCATCAAGAAAGTACCACTAATGTTATTGAGATATAATTTAGGGACTTAATACATTGTGATCAATAAATTAATAGTGAATTACATTTTCTGTTAGAGCAATGCTACAAAACCCAAATAAAATTCAAAAATATTACAACTCAAATGTATATTATTTATTGGATGAGTAGACTCATCAATTTTTTCAGTGGGACCTGCTCATCCTAAACTCGTCTAAAGGATGATATGCATTGAGTTTTAACTTTTGGGTATCATTTAGATTATGTATCAATTTCCTTTATGTTAATACCCACGGACAATTCATTTATCACAATCATTAAATTCTCAAATTATATAATTTTCTAATGGAATTTGTATTGCAATCAATATGTAGTTAAACTTTCCTATTTGGTTAATAATCAAATTTCATAAGTTTTGACATTTAAAAAGTTTTCATGAAAAGATGTGGTGTATAATTTTTATGTTCGCGCTAATGCCGATTATTTGGATTTTGGATTGTTTTTGCTATGGACTATGTTGAAAAAAGATCTAACAATACGTTATTCAGTCATCATAAATAGATATTCTTATCTAAGCTAGAAACTTTTATTGCAAATCTATAAAAGCGTGCAACGTTCACCACCACAGTACATGAATATGGTGAAAAGTTACAATTTATTTTGCCGAATACCGAATGCTCTGCTAAAGGAAAGAGTTCATGTAAGTCATGGTTCATCACCGCCGTAACCGCCACCATATCCAGACCCGTAGCCAGAGCCACTACCGTAGCCGGAACCATTGCCCCTACCTCCACCTCCACCACCTCCTCCTCCACCACCACCACCTCCTCCTCCACCACCACCTCCACTTCCATATCCGGAGCCACTACCACTTCCGTAGCCAGAACCACTTCCTGTCTCACTACCACCACCTCCACCACCACCTTTGCCACCACCACCTCCGCCACCTCCACCCTTTCCTATCCCTCCTCCAAACCCATACCCTGAGCCACCGCCAGACCCATATCCGGAACCATACCCACCAGCAGAACCACCACCTCCACCTTCTCCTCCTCCTCCACCGCCACCAATACCATATCCTTCTTTTGAACCACCATATCCTGAACCCGAACCATACCCTGAGCCTGAACCAGGTCCATAACCACCACCTCCTCCTCCTCCTTCTCCTCCTCCTCCTCCTCTACCACCTCCACTACCAAAGACCTCTTTTGATAATCTTGCGGCAAAAGCAAGTTCCACAAGGAGCATAGCCAAGAATGCAACAGCTAGCACCTTGGAACTAGCCATCTTCAAGCTTCCAAACTTCAAATGGCTAGACTCTCTCTCCCCTCTTATGTATATATAAACGACTTTAGTATGTATTTAACACCAATTCTATGTAAGTTGTGAGGAATGAGATTAAGGGAAGGTTCCTATATATAGGCATGGTAAAGCTCAACTCTTTCAAAGTTGCATGGCTTTCTAGTAGCTTCTTCACTTAGGATAATGTCTAGAAAATATGAACGTAGATATCGATAGTGGTGCTGGTGGGTGGCGGTGGCGCTATCATGGATGTGGCGGTGGCCTGCGTGACTTCATGCAACTTATCTGTCCTCCCACTTTTGACTTGAGGCTCAGAAAAGCTAAATGAAATGAGAACAATGAGCTGCTTGTCACTAAATCACATTGCCCATCTATTCACATTTGACCAACTATTGAGTGCAAAATTTTTCTATGCACTCAAAACTTCATGGGTATTTATCACTAGTCGATTATAGAAATACAATAAACAGCTCCTCTCTGTTACCGCATAGAACTATGACTTGTGTAGCGATTTGATAAGAGCTCTTTTAATAGGCCGTTTTAGCTGTGCTTAGGTGTGTGTGTTAAGTTTATATATATGTAAGAATCACATAGCAACTACTATTTTAGGAATTTTTTTAAAACTTAGAAGAAGTAATCATATTGTTACAATGATCACAAACATTATCGCTAAAAAGGACCTTGAGCCCTAATATGCAAATAGTAATATAAACAAGACTTATTTGATTGCTAACATTGAATTGATTGCGAATTTCAATATTTGATAGGTCAGGTCTACTATTAGTTCAGCAACAACAATTAATAAGATCAATACATTAGGTCAAATAATGTTATTGAAATGCAGTGGGTGATTGAAATATTGCTTGACCTAAATAGTCCTTGTTGTTGTCTATCGATACACATCGCATGGTTTGAGATCAATTGCATGAAAACTTTGTACTCATTTTGTGGATGGAAACATTTTCCTTTTTATCTTATGCCTTCCTAATAAATCCTTTTTCTTTTTAATATTGTGTATACATAGATAGATGTCAAGTTGCAAAAAATAGAAAAAAAGAAGAAGAAAACACGTATGACCTATCATGTTCATTTGTGCTTATCATTTTGCCTTGTTAGTTTTGGAAAAACCTTAAAAATTCAAGGCCACAACCACCCACTAACTCAGTAACCCAAATTCCCTATCAAAATCTAATGACTTTAGTGGGGTTTGTCTTCTTTGCTTCATGTATATTTACTCTTGGAATGACAATTGGCACTCACTTTCTCTACTTTGCTTAGGTGGCCATATGCANCCACCTCCTCCTCCACCACCACCTCCTCCTCCTTTACCACTTCCACTTCCATATCCGGAGCCACTACCACTTCCGTAGCCAGAACCACTTCCTGTCTCACTACCACCACCTCCACCACCACCTTTGCCACCACCACCTCCGCCACCTCCACCCTTTCCTATCCCTCCTCCAAACCCATACCCTGAGCCACCGCCAGACCCATATCCGGAACCATACCCACCAGCAGAACCACCACCTCCACCTTCTCCTCCTCCTCCACCGCCACCAATACCATATCCTTCTTTTGAACCACCATATCCTGAACCCGAACCATACCCTGAGCCTGAACCAGGTCCATAACCACCACCTCCTCCTCCTCCTTCTCCTCCTCCTCCTCCTCTACCACCTCCACTACCAAAGACCTCTTTTGATAATCTTGCGGCAAAAGCAAGTTCCACAAGGAGCATAGCCAAGAATGCAACAGCTAGCACCTTGGAACTAGCCATCTTCAAGCTTCCAAACTTCAAATGGCTAGACTCTCTCTCCCCTCTTATGTATATATAAACGACTTTAGTATGTATTTAACACCAATTCTATGTAAGTTGTGAGGAATGAGATTAAGGGAAGGTTCCTATATATAGGCATGGTAAAGCTCAACTCTTTCAAAGTTGCATGGCTTTCTAGTAGCTTCTTCACTTAGGATAATGTCTAGAAAATATGAACGTAGATATCGATAGTGGTGCTGGTGGGTGGCGGTGGCGCTATCATGGATGTGGCGGTGGCCTGCGTGACTTCATGCAACTTATCTGTCCTCCCACTTTTGACTTGAGGCTCAGAAAAGCTAAATGAAATGAGAACAATGAGCTGCTTGTCACTAAATCACTTTGCCCATCTATTCACATTTGACCAACTATTGAGTGCAAAATTTTTCTATGCACTCAAAACTGCATGGTTATTTATCACTAGTCGATTATAGAAATACAATAAACAGCTCCTCTTTGTTACCGCATAGAACTGTGACTTGTGTAGCGATCTGATAATAGCTCTTTTAATAGGCCGTTTTAGCTGTGCTTAGGTGTGTGTGTTAAGTTTATATATATGTAAGAATCACATAGCAACTACTATTTTAGGAATTTTTTTAAAACTTAGAAGAAGTAATCATATTGTTACAATGATCACAAACATTATCGCTAAAAAGGACATTGAGCCCTAAAATGCAAATAGTAATATAAACAAGACTTATTTGATTGCTAACATTGAATTGATTGCGAATTTCAATATTTGATAGGTCGGGTCTACTATTAGTTCAGCAACAACAATTAATAAGATCAATACATTAGGTCAAATAATGTTATTGAAATGCAGTGGGTGATTGAAATATTGCTTGACCTAAATAGTCCTTCTTGTTGTCTATCGATACACATCGCATGGTTTGAGATCAATTGCATGAAAACTTTGTACTCATTTTGTGGATGGAAACATTTTCCTTTTTATCTTATGCCTTCCTAATAAATCCTTTTTCTTTTTAATATTGTGTATACATAGATAGATGTCAAATTGCAAAAATAGAAAAAAAGAAGAAGTAAACACGTATGACCTATCATGGTCATTTGTGCTTATCATTTTGCCTTGTTAGTTTTGGAAAAACCTTAAAAATTCAAGGCCACAACCACCCACTAACTCAGTAACCCAAATTCCCTATCAAAATCTAATGACTTTAGTGGGGTTTGTCTTCTTTGCTTCATGTATATTTACTCTTGGAATGACAATTGGCATTCACTTTCTCTACTTTGCTTAGGTGGCCATATGCAACACAATGGTCTCATCATATCGATTTGAAATATTCAATGTAACGATGACCTGCATTATTATCACCGCATTATTATCACCGCGTATTGTCTTTTTTTTTGGGGCAAGGGAGCTTGGCACCTTGACCTCACGAAACAAAGTCCTCACAAGATAAGAAGTACTATTAGATCAGAGAGTCATGATAGTATCACTGTTAAATAAAAGAATAATAAGTGGACAAATGAATATTATACAATTCAATAACTGCCTTCTCATGTAATGAGCTTTTACCCAAACCCATGGGGTTTGTCAAAAATATACCCAAAATATTGTAGTTTTCAAACTATTTCTCAAACCCATGCAGTTTTGAGAATGTCATTTGAACTGATGTTTTTAGAGTAAAAGACGTTAGCTAAAATAACGTTTTTGTGTAAAAACGTTGTTCAAATAAATTTCTTAAAATTTTTTTTTAAAAAAAATAAGATAAAACGTTGGTTGAACCAACGTTTTTATTGTTGCTATCTAGCTGGCCCATTTCTCTNAAAGACGTTAGCTAAAATAACGTTTTTGTGTAAAAACGTTGTTCAAATAAATTTCTTTAAATTTTTTTTTTAAAAAAATAAGATAAAACGTTGGTTGAACCAACGTTTTTATTGTTGTTATCTAGCTGGCCCATTTCTCTTTCCTTTCTGCCTTCCTTTTCCCAAATTACCTTATTTGAAATTCAAAATCACAGACCCCATTCCACCACGAGCAACACCACCACCAACCGAAACCATCACCAGCACTATAACACAGGTCTAGCACCACCACCATCGGAAACCCCCAGCCCCAGCANTTACCTTATTTGAAATTCAAAATCACAGACCCCATTCCACCACGAGCAACACCACCACCAACCGAAACCATCACCATCACTATAACACAGGTCTAGCACCACCACCATCGGAAACCCCCAGCCCCAGCGCCACCACCATCGGTAACCGACAGACCCAACACCACCAACATCAGAAACACACAGCCCCTACACCACCACCATCAAAAACCCCCATCCCCAGCACCACCACCATCTGAAATCACCCAGACCCCCCACCACCACCATCCCAGCCCAGTCGGTGATTTCTTCAACCAGGTGTGAGTTTTTTTTATTCTTGAAGTCCATCGAACAAAATGTGCTACATCTAATGTATTGTTATTCAATACTTTATTATTCAAATAGTTTTTTATTACAAGTTCGTTGTGTTTAATATAAATAACATCTTAGAAAAATGATGCTTCACAATTATTAGCACTGCATTAGAACAATATGGTGATGGCTTCAGTATGGAATTGCCATGTTACAATCATAACTTTTTCACCTTATGGTGAAAAGGGTATTTGATGTTTTCTGTCATTACACTGAAAAATCAAAAGAGTTGAAATGCAAAAAGAGAAAAAAAGGAAATAAAGAAAGAGGATGGAAGAGGAGAGAGGGAAGGGGGGGGGGGGGAATGGTTGCTTTGAAATAGAGGCAGAACAACTCAAATCCTTCTGCAATTTACTTTTGATTCTTTAAAAGTGCAATTTCTTTTAGCATAACTCAGATGTATGCCAAGAGTCATCTAGTACCTAGTTAGCATCAGTCATAAAGTTTACATTTCACATCATGAAAGTGTGGTGCATATATTAATCTCTATCTTGATGTTATACTTGGACAATTGCATGGTCCATCCCTATCACCACCCCTCCAATTGTGTTGGCCACCAAACCACCCTTTCTGTGACAACCCGTATATAAAATAATCACTAAAACAGTAATTAGGTCATCACTGATAATTCCATATAATTAAGGGCAATTTTTAGAAATTTCAAATAAACAAATGGATTTCAAATATGAATTTTTTTATGTGCAAACAAGTCAAATGATTATAATTTAGGTCAAATATTATAATCATATAATAAATATATATATATATATATATGTGTGTGTGTGTGTGTGAAAGATCCTTCTAGATTTTTACAAGATTTGGAAACGTGCAAAAAGTCAAAAAAAATAACATGGACAAGTGCCCATAAGATGCTTGGAGACCAAGCAAGAATTGGCTATAAATTGCCAAGTCTAGGCTATTTGAACGGCACAGTATAGAAGGAAAAAGAGAGAGAGAGAAGGGAAGAGAAGAAGGAGAGAGAGAAATGGAATAGAAGAAAAAAAATTATGATTTTGGGGTCAAAAATTGAGCATTGATTTTATTTTAGATTGCTATCAAATTTGACTATTTGATTCGGGGTATTTCGAATTTTGCATCTATTGAAGTCATTGATGAATTTGGAGTACGGGTTAATATACAATATGCTACTGTCTTTTAAATCTCTTTGTAAAAAGTGTCATTTCATTATTTGAAATTTTGTATTCCTATTGATTATTCTGATTTGTATAAAATTCTATCAATGTTATCGATTGACCTGTACGTGTACATTGAGATAAATACTTTGGGATTGATTGATACATGTACAAAGTGTACTTGGGAGCATAATTGGTGAAATGCTATTATGGCCCTGCGGGGTGTGATTGTGATTACAGCCTTGAGGGATGTAATGATTCGATATGAGTATAGATTTTAAATGCACAGGTGTCACTTGTCATGTCACTAAGAGGACCCGAGTATGAGGCTAGGTTTGATAGATATTGAACTATGTGACTTATCAAAATGAATTCTTGATTCTTTTATCTGTGATTGTCTATTGATTGAATTATTTGGTATTTGATTATTCATATTCTTTTATCATTGAGCATATTGTTCCCTGTCATATTGTATACTTCCCCACCTTTAATATTTTTCAGGATTATCTCGGAGGGAAGGACCAGAGTTGATATTTGAAGAATCGAAGACAGACGAATCTTGATATAATTTTTAACTTTGTGGGTTTATTGGGGTGATGTATAATTTGAACAAATTCGCTTTTTATATTGAGGAGATTATTTTATTAGTATTTGGATATCAAAATTGTAATTATAAATTTATTGAGGCAATTAGAGCTCCGATCCTATACTCAGAGATTTATTTGTGGTTTATTATCGATCAATTAATTTAATCAAGTAAAGGGTCTGAGAAACCGGGGCGTTATAAAGTGGTATCAAAACTTAGGTATCAGATCCTATATGGGTCTTGTGGGAAGTGAGATTATCATCTTTCGCTGTAGGTACAAAAATTTGAAGTGTGGGGAGTAAGTTAACCAATTCTCATTAGACGGACGTATAAATTACAATTTATATCAAAATCTTGGGTTACATAGTAAAGTGTTAAAAAAAAAAAGGTATCGGAGTGCGCAGCAGATATTTATGTAATGTATTCATACTTATTTTACTCTTGAGGTTAGTATCGAATTTCGGGGACGAAATTCTTTTTAAGGGGAGTAGATTGTGACAACCCGTATATAAAATAATCACTAAAACAGTAATTAGGTCATCACTTATGATTCCATATAATTAAGGGTGATTTTTAGAAATTTCAAATAAATAAATGGATTTCAAATATGAATTTTTTTATGTGCAAACAAGTCAAATGACTATAACTTAGGTCAAATATCTTAACCATGTAATAAATATGTGTGTGCGTGTGTGTGTGAAAGGTCCTATTCTAGATTTTTACAAGATTCGGAAACGTGCAAAAAGGAAAAAAAAGAAGAAAAAAAAAATAACATGAACAAGTGTCCATAAGATGCTTGGAGACCAAGCAAGAATTGGCTATAAATTGCCAAGTCTAGGCTATTTGAATGACACAACACAGAAGGAAAAAGAGAGAAAGAAAGAGATAGATGGAATAGAAGAAAACAATTTATGAGATTTTGGGGTTAAAAATTGAGCAGTGATTTTATTTTGGATTGTTATCAAATTTGACTATTTGATTTAGGGTATTTTGAATTTTGCATCTATTGAAGTCATTGAAAGATTTGAGGTTACAATATGCTCCTGTCTTTTAAATCTTTTTTGCAAAGAGTG